TGCCCTGGCCAAAAAACAGGGAAGCTTGGGGAGAAGAATGATGAATTCTGTTTGGGGCATGAAAAATGATTCTGAATGATGTGATAAAAGCCTACCTAGGGCTTAATGGAATGATCAAGCAACCACCCAGGGCTTCTGAGTCGGAGTCTGCAGAGGCAGACTGAAGACCTGGGGTGGAAAAGATGAGTACCATTAACAAAGGCTCACCTTAATAATTAATGTTAGACAATAAATGAAAAACTAAATCAGAGCACTCACCTGAAAGGTAGCCCTACCAATTATGGCCTGATGACCATTTTATATGGATATATCTTGCTGGGAAGACAGCTGAGGACTGCCACCGAACCCCCAAGTTATGTAATGATAAACTGGGGTACAATAACTTTGACCATCTGAGAAGAACATGGAGTCATTAATGTAATAACATGACGAAGGCACTTTCACAGAAGAAGTGAACTCACATCATGGCTTACTTTGCTTAGAAGAGGCTCTCCTGAATAGCCAGCAGGAGCTCGCTTGTTTCTGCTCAGTCACTCCTGAAAGACTCCGCCTTCTGAGCTCGAAAGGGGTTGCAATCTGCTCAGGGTAGGGTCTGCACAGTTCCTACACTGATGTTTTGATGCATCTGATGAACTGAGCTATTTCCTCCGTGACGGGATTGTCATTAAAGCCAACGTATCCTTTTTAGGTAACAGCTGACTCAAGTTGCCAGAGAGCAGGAATGGGAACAACAGATTTCTGTTTGTGGCTGGCCCTCACCAGTGATCTCATCAGTGTAGGACCGCTGGGTGTGGGAACTCCTCCCCTGAGGCAAACCGACAACCACCAGAATTTCAAGAAGCGCCCAGGACCCTGAGATGTTAAAGGGCTGGCCCACAATCAAATATCTAGATGTGTTAGAGGCAAGACTTGAACCCAGGTTTTCCTAATTCTGAAGGGCAGCTCTTTATCCAGTACTTCATGCTGCCTCTCATTCTTTTCTAGACCATTAAGAAATGGTGCAAAAAGGCAAAAGGGATCATGGTTGGAAATAATAACGAATTAAAGTAGCACCAGTTGTTTGTCTGTTCTTAGAAGGACCTAGGACCTCATTGTTGCGTGTATCCTCAACATAGAGGTTGACATAACCCTACCAGTAGGACTGATGTATGATTAAAAGTGGGATTTGGGCTAATACAGCTCTAAACAGACAGATGAGAACAGTTAGAATATCATTAGAAGAGACAGAGGGATGCTTCACTAAAAATTAAATGATTTAAACATTTAATTTAATGCTAAGTTGCTGCCCATCACAAAAATTCTTTTATTTTCATAAGTCATTTTTGGCTTAATATACTTAAGCAAAGTATATAATGAAGTAAGAAAAAAAATTAAAATCTGCCTATACAGATTCTTGATATTGATGGTTTTGTCTACTTAAAGAATTTTTGTAAAAAGCAATTTTTTAAAGAGTAGGAAGTTTAACATTTTCCACAAAATTGGAAATGAACTCACCACAGAAATCGATGCCAACAGATATGCTGTTGTTTTCCCATTAACAAGAGTCTCTAAGAGTGAAAGTTCTCAGGAAGCTCTCTGGAACAACTGTTCAATTGGGCAAGTCAAAGGAAGGGAAGAAAGATCAAGGAAGCCATTTTGTCTGTGGGAGAACTAGGGCTGGTGGTCCTCCAGACTCTCACATCTCTGCCAAGCTAATGAGAGCAAATTTCTTTGATGTTGAAGGGATGCTCCGCCCCATGACCGTGACAGCTATGGGGGTTCCCAGACTCCTCAGATGCCAAGGAATTCTGATCCCAGGGAACATCTTTTCCCTCCCTACAGAATTGGCAGTAGGCTTCACTCAGGCTTTGAAAGACAGGCCTCCTGCATTTTGTGCATTAGGAGAGCATGCTGGCAGAGGGCACCATTACTGATCTACCCTTCAACAACGACTGTGGGGAAAAACATCAAACCATGGAAGAACTCACCCTCGTTTTGCATTTTATCACAGTGATCAGTGATGAAACAGCAGGTCTTTAGATTCAACTTATGTAAGCATGAAATGTCTGATACAGGGGAAGTTGATATGAGGGCAACACCCTCGGCTCCTAGAAGGAGGTTGGAGCCAGGGTGATCAGATCTTACCAGCTGGAAAGAATTCTATAACTTCCTTTTAAGAAAAAAAGCTCAATTTACCTCTTTTGGTGGTAGATATAAACTGGTATCCTAGGGACCTGAAAATATTACTATACCTCCAAAAAAATGAGAAAATACCATCCACCCTTTTCAAGAGCACAGTCATACAACAAAGCATGTGAAGTGGTTCTCAAATACTAAAGCATCTTACCCACATGTACAAAAATATTGATAGCAGTTCTTTTTGTGGAGGCAAAGATTTGGAAATTGAGAGGATGTCCATCAATTGGGGGACGGCTGAACAAGTTGTGGTATATGAATGTAATGGAATACTATTGTGCTATAAGAACGGATGAACAGGCTGACTTCAGAAAAACCTGGAAAGACTATATGGTCTGATACTGAGTGAAGTGAGCAGAGCCAGGAGAATGCTGTACACAATAACAGCCATGTTGTGTGATTGACTAATATTGATAAACTTAACCCTTCTCAGCAATATAAGGATGTAAGACATCTCCAAAGGCCTCGTGACAGAAAATGTTATCCATAAAGAAGAAAGAACTATAGAGTTTGAATGTAGATCAAAGTATACTATTTGCTATTTTTTTCTTCTGTTGTGTTCTGCTTCCTCTTTCTGGTGGTTCCTCCTATTGGTCCTAATTCTTACCTACAACATCACTAATGTGAAAATATATGTATATCAGATTGCGCACCGTCTTGGGAAGGGAGGGGGAGAAAAATTTAAAACTCAAAAGCTTATGGAAGTGATTGTTGATAATTCAAAATAAATTAATTAAAAAAAAGAAATAAAAAAACTAAAGCATTTTAATAACATTTTCCATTCAGTTTTTGAGAAACTTCATTAGTGTGGGGAGAGCTCAGTTGGTAATCACTCTACAATGTCTTATCTTAGAGTACCGACTGAGACACTGAAAAATTAAGTAACTTGCTCAGGGTCACAGAGCCATTATGGGTCAGAGGTAGGATTTGAACCCAAGTTGTACTGACTCTAAAGTTGGCCCTCTAACCACCACACCATGATGTAATTTAGTTGTTATCAAAGAAAAAAAAAGCTCTTTCATGATTTGTTTTTGAGGAAAGATTAATGCTCTCAGGGGAAAAATATTTAAAAAACCTTCCCAGAACTTAGCACACTGCTTGCTTGAGCACTTTCCTTCCTGCTTGGCCTTGATGGCTTTCCCCAGGCTGGCCTTTAAATGTTCATTTTCCCTTCTTCTACTCTTTACTTACCTTCCAACCAAGTAGAGCCTACTAGTATTTGCTACTTCTTAATTACTGCTGCCTTTTTCTTACATGAATTTTCCTCCATCAATCATACTTACGACGCTGATCTGAACCCTAAATTCACAGGAATCTGCTCATGTTGCTGTCATCAAACTACTGCCAACTGTCTGTAAATGGGGGCCTGGTGGGGCAGCTAAGTGGCGCAGTGGATAGAGCACCAGCCCTGGAGTCAGGAGGACCTGAATTCAAATCCGGCCTCAGACATATAACACTTACTAGCTGTGTGACCCTGGGCAAGTCACTTAACCCCATTGCCTAACCAAAAAAAAAAAAAATTAAATGGGAGCCTGGTGTAATTCCCAATAAAAGAAAGGTAGTAGTAAGCTTACCTCTGTGCTAACTATTGTGGAATAAAGAAAACATTCTTGTACAGTCAGAAATTACCAGACAGGTACTCTTTTTCTGATAGGGAAAATCTTGAAATACCTTTCTAACAAAATTTAGTTATTTTCATCCTTTCATTTATAAATTTATCCTATCAATTTCAAAGGAAAAATTGCCTCCCAAGTGAAATGATTAACTTTCACTGTTGGGTTATAAACTGAAGGCAGAGGCTGTGCCATACTTATCTTGGAGCTGTGCAATGCCTTGTACATGGCCAGCGCTCATTCAGTGCTCACTGAATGAGTGAATACTAGTTCATTCAGCAGGATAACCAGGAATCTGCTTTACATTGTATTCACTCTACTAGGCATACTTAGAAGTAGGGAACACTGAGGAAGAAAAACTGGGTCACTGAGGGTAGTCTTAAAAAGTGAAAATGGCATCATTTATTGGCTCAGTTTATCCTGAGCATTATATAAAATCGCCCCTTAACAATAAAAAAATTCCTACAATTTTTGTTATTGTTTTAGTCACAAGACAATTGATCTAGTTACATAATGGGTACTGAAAAGGCCTAAAATTGTTGGCTAAGGTACCACTTGGCCCAATTCAGTTTAGTAATCACAAACTAAATGTAATGATTTAATAAGCACTGAAATGACTGTGCTTTGACATTGAAAAAAAATCCCATTAACACTTATGACATGCAAACAAGCCTATGATGCAAATTTTACTAATCGCATTAATGTGACTTGCAAAAGCACAACAAATGTATAGCATTAGTAAATCATTAAAATGTCCATTTGTCATTACTACTGCACAATGTTCAAGCACAAAATAGTAGGAGAAGTTACCTCAAATCGATTGGAGGACAGCAGCAGAAGTAAGCCAGAAATCCTACCAAGATATTAACACCCAGAGAGAGCCACGCCAAAGACAGAGAAAGAAAGAATGGTCATCTTTACAAAAGGGGACAGGGGCTAACTACTTACGAGTTAAGGAATTTGGAAAAGTTATGAGGAAAATCCCATTTTAAAGTATTTTTAAATTCAATAAACTAGCACCCATTATGGGGTAAGTTAAGAACTAAGGCAAAAAAATTAAAGTTTTACAACTGTTCCTTCAAATATCCCATAAGCAGATATCAAGTTTATAATTTAGTTTAAAATCTTTATAACTAAAGAAAAATTGTTAAATCATTCTACCTATTGCCTCAAGGTATTATTATATAACATCTCATGGAAACTATCAATTACCTTTACGGCAGCAGTCACAGCAGCAGTGGCTGCTAGGTTTAAACCTTGGCGACCGAAGTTAACCATGGTCTCGTAGCCTCGTTCTTTGGCTTGCACAATATAATCATCGATCTCCTTTAAAAAAAAAAAAGGGATTCAAAAGGTATCAAAATTGTATCCATGACCACTTTAGTTTCTTAAATTTTTAGAATATTATTGTAAAGTATACATAAGCAATTTTTGTTCTCCTAACACATTCAAAAGTTTTGCCATATTTAAACATTTCAAAAACATAAAACTGATGGAAAAACCTGGAAAGACTTATATGAACTGATGCTGAGTGAAGTGAGCAGAACTAGGACAACATTGTACACAGTAACAGCCACGTTTTGCAATGACTAACTTTGATAGACTTAGCCCTTCTGAGCAATGCAAAGATCTAAGACATCTCCAGAGGCCTTGTGATGGAAAACGCTATCCACATCCAAAGAAAGAACTATGGACTTTGAATGCAAATAGAAGCACACTATTTGCTATTTTTTTCCTTCTGTTTTGTATTGTTTCCTCTTTCTTGTGGTTCCTCCTATTGGTTCTAATTTTTCCTAACAATATCACTAATGTGAAAATATGTTTAATAGGAATGTATATGTAGAGCCTATATCAGATAGCGCACCTTCTTGGGGAGGGAGGTAAGGACGGAAGGGGAGAAAAATATAAAAGTCAAAAGCTTATGGAAGTGATTACTGATAAATAAAAATACATTAATAAAAAAATTTTTTAAAAAGATAAAACTGACATTTGCAAATTTGTCTCATCTCTTACCTTTTCCTTTGAAGAAAGTAGTGGGTGAAGGAACTTCCTGTAGATTAAACTTGCCCCTCGGGTGTATGGAGAGAGCAGCCAAATGACAAAAGCAATCTTCATCTCATAGTACAAGGGAAACCTGTCCAGGAAATGTTAGAAAACCATCAGATATTTAGGTTAGATCTTCATGTGTCAAAAAGGGAACTTTTTAAAGAAAAGCTCCAAAGGAAATATCTAATTCCATTCATAGAAAATGTCTATTTACAACATTTCCTTAGTTTCTGTATACTGAATAGTCTTCTTCCTTAACAGTTAAAAAGTGTCCCAACAGTGTTTGTGGTAGAGGCCAAATCTGGATTTTACCCCAGAAGATTTTATAATTCTATTCACCACATGGAGAGGGTTGGGGGTCCCTTTTAAAAGAATTAATTTAATATCCAAAGTGGATTAACAAAATGGCTTCTTGTAACCAGAATTCTCCTTTGCAAAAAACAAGCCAACAAAACTCAACGGAAATATTCAACTAAGAAAGGCTTCAGTTTCCATGAATGATAATACCACTATCTTATATGTAGCTTTATCCTGATTCAAAAGCACTGTCACTCATTACCTCACTTGACATTCTGTTTTACCAACAAGAAAGCAGGCACAGAGAAGTCAGGGAACCTGCCTCTCGTCAGTAAGTTAACAGAGACACGACCAAATTCATCATTGGCCCCTGAAGGGAAAATGCTTTTTCAGTCTTGGAACTTACCAAGCAACGGTTAGGTCTGCCAATGTTTCAATCACAGTATAAAGGGCAAAAACAATCCAATACATCATCCACCGAACCTAAGAACAGCAAAGGTAACAGAGATCATGGAAGGTTCTCAAGACAACTGGTCTCCAACTAAAAATCCTATGTCATTTACAGTCTGTACAATGAGTACCAAGAACTGGTAAGGATGAGCCTTGGCCCAGTCTCTATTGTTGTTCTCACATTACTGACACAATCCTAGAATCGGGGAGGAGAACCATGTGCGGCTCTGATGTCCAACATAGTGTGATACTGACTGGACGTCAGATGCACAAGGAATCATCTCTTTAGAATGAAAGATATCTCTAGAATTGTGGGGCAGGTCAATCCTACTCCGTTACCACCACTGGTTACTTAATAACGATATTTGCTCCTTTTTCCTTCAATGTTTTGTTGATGCTCTTTCGGACACCATCCTCCTTCTCCAAGGATTCCTTTCTCCCTATCCTCCCACCCACAACAGTATAAGAGACAGAGGAAGATCACCTAGTTCCTCTGTCTCTGACCCCGAGGAGCTACATTTGGTCCTTCTGGGGCACTGTTTGTGATCTCCGAAAGACCCTGGAGAACCAGAGAGTCACCTGGTGGCTAAATTTCTTTTGACTGGTTATGAGGCAACATACATACCATCTACCCTAGGGTCCACAATGTTGGCATTTCTAGCTTCAAAGATGTGGCCCTGTTGCTTCCACTGGTCTATTTCTCTCCCTCTGTTCACATGGCCACCATGTTACTGCAGGTTCCCCACACCTTTCATCTGGCCTACTGGCCTTCAGAATGAATCTGAGAATGCTAGTCTTCTGCTCTTGGCACCCTACCGCCTCTAAAATAGAACACAAACTCCTTAGTTTGCCATATAAGCCCTTTTCTCGTTTGATTCCCACCTCCCCTTCACACACGTGATGTCCAGCTAAACTGGCCAACTTACTGTTCCCTGTCAGTATCCCAACTCCTACATGTGAGCTTCTGCATAGTTTGGAGACCCATCTAACTAAGCACATTGCTCAATGATGGAAAAACTCCCCCTTGCCTGACCCTCCCCATCCCAATGATTCTGAATTCCCACACAACCCTCTGAACCCCACCGCCCAATCCCTTATCCCTGTTCCCTTCAATTTAACCCTGGCAGTGTCGTACTCTAAAAGCACCGCCCCCTTCCATTGTGCTCTCTTGAACGCCTCCTCCATCAGCAATAAATCTGCTTCCATCTTGCTGTTTTTCCTTACCCATTCCTTCCACCTTCTCCCTGAGACCTGGCTTCTCTTTCTAGCACTGGCCGCACTCTCACTCACTCGCCCGGTCTCAGCTGTTGAGAGGCGTGTTGGGGGAGAAGGAGCTGGAACCCTCCTTGCTTCCCACTGCCAGTTCTGGGGTCTGCCTCTACCAGCACTGAGTAACCTCTCCTCCTCAGAGGTGCGCTCAGTCCATATGCGCCAGCCAATCAGAATTCTGGTAGCTGTTGTCAACCGCCCTCCAGGACCTCCCCAGCCCGCTATTTCCTCAGTGAGTTCAGTACCTGGCTCCCAGCCTCTCTATCCTCCTCAACTCCTGCTCTCATTCTGGGGGACTTAAAACACACACACACACACACACACATACACACACACACACACACACACACACACACACACACACACATCTCAATACTCCTTCAAACACCTAAAGCTCACCCTACCTTCAGCTTATTCATGATCTAATCCTCCAGTCCACCTTAGCCACACACACAAAAATGTTTCATCCTTGATCTTGCCACCACTCACAAACACACCACTTCCATGTTCACATAGATTTCCCTTATCTGATCTCAATCTATCATCGCTTCACCTCTCCAAATCCTATTCTTGGTCTACAGTGTGACCTTCAGTTTCTTCCTAGGCCATCACCTCTGAACTGGCCACATTCTCCTTTCCTCCCCATCTTGACCCCTCTGCGGACCAGATCAACTCTATACTGTCCTTTTCTTTCCTTTATCGTACCCCTGAACTGGCCCTGCAAAGCTTCAGCCTGGGATTGCTTCCACCATCCCCAGCCTTTGCTCTTACACATGTGCTGCTAACAAAACCGGAGAAAATCTCAAAACTGTGCTAACTGGGTCCATTATAAATTTATGGTATGAAACCTCAACGGGGCTCTTCCTATTACAAGATACACCTTTTAACCCCCCCTTAGCAACTCTCCCACTCTCAACAGTGGCTCTTCTAAACCTCCCACGGCTCCACTTCTCTTTCCCCTCTTGGCTCAGACCCTCTTCTCATATTTTACAAAAAAACCTGAGCCCATTCACTGAGAGCCCCTTCTCCCATCCCCCAGATGCCTTCTGCCATGATCTCTCCCTTCATACCTGCATCACGCAATGAAGTGGCCCTTCTTCTTGCTACCTTAACCCCCTCCATGTGTTGTCGATCGCCCCCTCCTTCATCCTCACTCTCCCTTTTCTTCAGTTTTTACTTGCCTACTTGATCCCATCTCTCTCCGTCCCTTTTGTGGCTAAACTCCTTGACAAGACCACCAGTAGGTGCTTCCACTTTCTTTTCCCTCCCTCTCTTCTTTAGTCTCTGCAGTCTGGCTTCCAACTTCATTATTAAATTTAAACTGTTCTTCCCACATTTACTAACAATTTCTATATTCTATATTTCTAATGGCCTTCCCCCGGCCCTCCCCTCAGCCCTTGCCCTTTTTGACTTCTCTGTAGAAAGCCTTGGACGTTGCTGATTACGCTCTTCTCCTTAGACGCTCTTCTCTCTAGGTTATCAGGACACCACTCTCTTCTGGTTCTTCTACCTATTTGCCTGTTCCTTCTCAAAAGTGTGCTTTGCTGGCTCTTCAGCCAAGTCACGCCCACTAACTGTGAGTGTCTCTTACTTTGTTCAGGGCCCTCTTCTCTTATCCTTCCATATAAGAGGTCAGTAAACTGTTTCTGTAAAGGGTCAGATAGTAACTATCTTATTTAGGTATATATATATACCTAAATAAGATAGTTACTATCTGACCCTTATATATGTGTGTGTGTGTGTGTGTGTGTGTGTGTGTGTGTGTGGTGTGTGTGTGTGTGTAACAAGACAGAAAACATTTCCACAACTTTTTTTTACTAATGAAACCCAAAATATAACTGATTACTGTAACACTGGTATACTAATGATAAGCATATAATTTTTCTTTGAGGAATAACATTTTGCTTAATTGGGGAATTCAAAATTCCCCTATCATCAAAACTGATCATAAACATTCATCTGTTAATGCTGATCTGCAATGGGATTTTATGTATTTCATCCTTGAAAATACCTTTTCACAGAAATAGGTACTGCCAAATGCTGATATCAGTCCACAAGCATGTGATTTTAATTGAACATATTCAAAGCCTGGAAGACATTTTTAGAATTCTATTAGATTTTTCTCTTGATATTTTCTTTTTAGCCACTCATTATGTTGCAGATTAAATACTTCCCCACTGAAAGGGAGGAAGAATCTCCTCAACTGAACAGTTAAGTGGATTTTGAGATCTGGAAGCTTCTTTTGCACTTGCATCAAGGTCCAAAAGATGCCATCGGGATCATCCTCTGAGCTTTAATATTATCAGCTGCAAATCTGGGTCAGAATAGAGATCTCACTTCTTGTTTCAACCTCGACACCACAAGAGGTGTATAAACCAGCTTGCCATTGCTTGGGACTTAAACAACATTTGCTGTCTTTGAATTAATGCTACCACACTATAAATTTCACATAAGTGCTGCTCAGCCTTTTAATTTTTGGTTGAATCAATTAAGAAACATTATCAAGTCTACAGCCAAAGCTAATTTCCAAAAGCTCTTTGGTGTTTGGTGGTGGTGGCTGAGGGTGATTCATCTTATTTGGAAAAACTCCAATCTTGGCCCTGAGCTCAAAAAAGCATCATGTACCTCTTCCTCTTCTTGTTTTGACATGATGGATATGAATTGATAATAAAATGAAATGCCATGTTATGGTGATACACGGGACACCTCAAATGTTCTTGGGTTATCATCAGATCACCTCAGTTTGGAGTGCAACAAGCGGCCGTGCAAAGGGATAAGAGAACCATATATACAGTCTTCTTTTTTAACTGCTTGTCTGCCTTGAGGTATAAGAGCAGCCACAGACTATCATATGGAAATGGATGAGGACTAATGAGCATGGCTATGCTCCCATACAACTTTATTTAATGACATTGAAATGTGAATTTCGTATAATTTTCATGGGTCACAAAATATCATTCTTCTTTCAATTTTTTCCAACCATTTAAAAATGTTAAAAAGCATGCATAGTTCTTGCTGGCTGTACAAAAACAGTGAGCAGGGCAAATTTGGCCTGTGGGGCATAGTTCACTGGCTCTTCTGCTCTACAGTATTTCATCTGATGATCTCATCAGCTCCCATGAATTTAATTATTATGGATGACTTTTTTTCTTTATTTTGAACATTTAAAAAAATTTTTGAGTTCCAAATTCTCTCCTTCCTTCGAGCTCCTCCCCCACCCATTGAGAAGGGAAATAACATATCAATTATACATGTGAGATCCTTTGAGGTTCAGTTTGGGTTCTGTAAAATGCATAGCTGTTTCTACAAATGAAACTTGAATAGTATCTCTAGAATGTAAAAATATATAATAGAATCACATCAAGGAAAACATCCTTTTTGTAAGAAAAAGATACTGAGTCATCTTGAGCACTAACTTCAATCTTTGATTTAAACTTTCCTAAACTTTCCTTTGATTTAAACTTTCCTAAAGTTAGATGCTACAATTTTATATACATTTTCTTTGCTGAATTATTCTTTGCTAATATTTTCTTGGAAGTTCAGAAGTACTTCTTGGTCCTTTTTGTCAAGGTGATGAAATGCGTGACGGCATTCATAATTTGATTCAAATAGGGAGGAGGCTGGTGCAGAATTACAAGTGACCTGAATAAGAGCTTCTATGTCACCCGCAGCAGGAACCACAGACTTTAACCTTAGGAACATATGACTTTGCTCAGTCCATTAGTGGACTTGGTAGTGATGTGACAGTAAAGGCTTAAGTTCGC